TAGAATTAGATGATGTCAAACTGACTGGGGATAAAATGTTTGGTTTATAAATGCTGATCAAAGTTTGATGAACCATTTCTTAACCACCTGGGATGATGGGAAGTGAGAAGTAAAGGAAAAGATAGCCATTATGATCAGTGAGTAAAGCAGTCTTCAAAATGAATGCTCTGATGGGATGAGTTGTTGATCTGAAAGGCTAGTTCAGTTTGAGATACTTAAAGCTGAAAGAGATACCTGATAGAGAAACTTGGTATATGTGTTTCACAGAGGATTATGAGGGGTTGGGAGACAGATACCTTGAACTGTGTTAGTGTTGTGCATGCCTGAACACCATCAGCACAGCTCATCCTAGCAGGTAGGCAAGAGCGCATGAGTACTTAGGGAAGCTGCTCTTGGTATGAGGAATGGGGCTCTCAGGCTACACCAGTTTCAGTAGCTAGCTTTGGGAGGATTTTTGAATTTCTTTGTGAAACACAGCAGTAGCCTTTACAAAAAAAAAATTCCTTAAAGAGCACTGCAAAAATGCCAAATGTTTCTGATGCCCAGTTTCCCTTACTAAATCTGGGACCTTGGAGTCCAGCTCATGGCAGTTTTGGTTTTTACCTTGTGCTGTAGTTTACCCTAATACATTTATCTGCCATACCCGACTGTGCAGTCCAAGCCATATTTGCAGGGGGGTGTAGCGTGGGTTCATGTGTGCTGCTGACACCTCTTTCCATCAAACAGTAACATATTCCAACTCCATGAAGCAAACAGCTTCATCCTGACTACCTGAGAGAACTTGGTGGTAGGAGCTGCAGTGCTATTGCTGCATGGCAGTGCTGCTCCTTTGCTAGACAGCCTGAGGAAAAATAGCAGGGGCTGTGAAAATGACATAAATTGTCATTTTCAGGGGTTCTGACACAGTGAAACAAATGTTGCTGGAAACTATAATTTTATCTTCAGTGGCTGGTATAAGTGTAAGTTAGTCCCAAGGAAGTGGGAGGGCTAGAGAAAGAAAACTGATCTTGTTTCTTTGAGACAAAAGACAACTTAGAAGTTTCATTTTTGAAATTATATTTTCAAAAAGTATTTGACTGAGCATTTTAATGAGAAAACAAGCTTTGTATAAGCAGTCTATAAAGAACTTTATTTATGTCAGTTTTGTCCCATTTTGGTGAACACTTTAAAAGCTGAAAACAAACTTGAAGGAAAGAAAGGGTAAGGACAATTAAAGTGCTTCACAAAAAGGAGTAAGATCACTATTTTTTGGTATTTTTTTTAAATTTAAAAATAAAGTTAAAAATTGTTGATGGGTCCTGCTCTGAATGAACTGATTAATAACTCTCCTTTATTAAAAAAGTGTAATTATTGCAAATGTTGTTTGGCACTAAAATGTATACATTTGTAAAGAGTTCCATAATTACCCTTGTTGCTTACTTTCCAAAAGTGAGTCTGTATAAATGAGTAGTGACACTTTAATGACAACTACAGTAATGTTTTGCACTATTCCTAAAACAATGATATCTTCATCTACAACAGAGGAGTCTGGCTCAAAACGGAACGTAAATATAAAAGCAGTTTTCAAAGTTTAGGACCTGGGGTCTTAATGCTCACAGCTGACTGTTCATCTGGTTTTTACTTTTGAATGGTATTTCTGATTCCATACAGAGAAGAATGATTACAAAGAGATCTTCTCTTTCATTGAAGAATAAAGACAGCTTTAACTTGTTGTTACTGGAGTAACAGGTCCTTTTTCAGCAAATGAAATTCCATTACTTTGTTCTGAAAAAGCAATCAGCTCAGCCTGCAAAGTCATTGAGCAGAACTTGGAATGGATGGTGCACTTGAAATGTCTGTAGGGGCATCTGCCATTGACTGAAAAAAAAATATAATTTTCTCCTTAATGCATTCTACAGCATAAAGTAGAAAAAGAAAAAAAAAAAAAAAAGAGAGAACTAAAAGCAACATCCTACCCAGTCTATAATATACAGTACCAAATGCTTAAGATACAAATGTGAAACTTGCATGCAACAATGAAATAAGCTGTCCACCAAATCAGATTTTCTCTAAGTCATTAGAATATGTTTTATGTGCTAGAGCTCAAGGCTTATAGCCTTTTCCCACTTCTGCTACTCCCTAGTATTTACTGCTGAAATTCTCATATAACCAAAAGGAACACATACCAGGATGGATTTTATTCTGGCAGACATAACTGTAGGTTCACTGAATATTGTATATCCTGTCAGATTTATACCAGTTGGACACCGCATCCTGATATCTAGCTCTATACAGCCTTTTTACCTTTCCAAAGCTGCAGTGACAAAGGGGCCATCTAGAGGTGAGTAGATCATCTCTGATCGCATCTGACCACATTATTAACAGCTGAATCTTCATATCTTTCCTTATTAATTTAAAAAAGTATATTTGGGCTCCAGCCAAAACAACAGTGAAGAAGAGGCAAAACACTTAATAAGAAAAAAACTTTGTGATGAAGAAGGAGTTTCTAGCTGTGCCAGTTCACTGACAACATACCAGTTTTATGTCTCTGCCCCTTACACTATCCTTTGTTTTAAAAATACTCAGCAAACAATTCAAAGGAAACAATTGCCATATTCCCTAATGAGACAAGATGAAGTGTTTTGTAATGATGATGACAGCAAATTCACTAAGTGAACTGCACTTTGAGAACTTTGCAAATTGATCAAACCATGATTCCTTGGTTGCTCACTTAATCGCCTGTTACGGTCTCTTTCCTGACCCTCCATATCCCAGTTGCTTTTGTCAGCACTTTGGAGACTCAGAGATTCTGCCAGCCCCTTAGGTTGTGAATAGTGGAAGAATAGGTTCTGGTTTGGGGATTTTATTTTATTTGCATTTATTACATACTCTTGGCCAACAGTCAGAGGGGGAATTTAGAGATCTTCTGGACACCTATGGTGCTTTCTACATCAGGCTAATGACTGTCAGGAAGAAGCTTTCTTAATTCTATTTATTATAGGATAGACACTAATTAAAGGACTGTTTCACCAGGTGCCGAGTACCTTAAGCAGCTTTTTAACTCTAGGTAGGGTAATGTGCCTATTTAGCACTTGGTGAAATTGCCTTCTACCATGGTCGGTCAGGAAAGAAAAGTACAATAGAAAAATGTACTTCAGTCAGTTGTACAAACGACTGACTGGTGAAGAATCGACTTAATTCATCATCAGTTTGCAATCAGAGTCCTTAGAGCTGTGGTTCTATTTTACTGGCAGAAGAAATGTACAAATTTCATTGCAATCTGAGTGATGAACTATCATATAGCATTCTTCAGAACAATAGTCATGTAAGGCTACTTCATGCTGGCCGTTTAAGCTTTCCTGAAATTTGTTTCATTAGAGAAAATACTTTTAGGGAATAAGGGGAAAGGAGGGGTGTGAGTCCACGTGTGCACAGGAATGAAGAGCTGTTCCTGCTGAGGCAGCGCAATTGCTGCCCTCTACAGGAGAGGCTAAGACCGCGTTTCGGAAGTGACGAGGAAGGGGTCTCCCTGCTCTTGATCTGCAAATCTCCTTTAGTTCCTTCCAGATTAAAAGAACCAGGCACTTTGCAGCTGTATTTACAACCTCAACACAGCAGAGACTGTGCCGTGTGAAGTTTAACTGTACTGCTCTGCTGCCTGAAAAGTTGAGGGGACTTGGAAAAAAGGTTTGCAGTGACTAACAGATGTGTTATTCACAAGCTCCCCTGAGTATCTCCCAGTCTGTATAAGTCCTGTGTTTGCTGTATGACGATGTATGAATGTGTGAACAGTAGCTAAGTGTGCTCTTATAATTAAGTACTAAGGAAAAGATAGTTTTGCCCTCACAGCAGCCAAAGATGATATCCAAATATATTTCTGTGTGTTCTGGTACTGGTAGCACTGAAAATCTTACATAAAGCCTAGGGGTAATTTTATTTGCATGCATTTGCATTACTGTGTCTTCCAATAACTCCACCTTACAGGGAGATAAAAGGAAATCTTGATCTATCTGCTGAGTCAATCTGTGTTTTTTTTTATTGTATTTGTTGACAACTAGTTGAATAATCATAAGCTGTTATGGAGAATAAACTTGTCAGTATAATCAGGTAAGTGTTTAAGCAGGCGGAAAAACCAAAATCAATCTTCCTGCAATAGGTTTTAAGGTTACTGTTGTTCAAGATCTGAGATCACACGTGTGACTTTCTGATACATCTTAACTGCCTGACTCAGGAAATTTTCTCTTTCATCCTTGTGAAGTGACAATTGTGATATCTTGTCTGAAAACACGCCTCAAATACAAGGAATTGTACTGGCTTGTGGGAGTTCTTCCTCTTGTTTTTTCTCTTGGTTACCTTCTATGCTTGCTTTATTAACCTCTTGGATTTTCATGGGCACTAATCCTCCAAAAGAAGAATATTGATAAAGCAGAGAGAAAGAGTTGGTTGTAAGAAAACAGGTCTGAAGCATAAAGACATCCCCCATATCTGAGCTTGAGCTTTTCTGCTAGAGGACAGTGGTTTGTTTCCAGTTGGGTAGTAGACAGTGGTAGGGGGCTGTAGATACCTGATAACAATATTCTATGAAGAAGCTGAGGACTGGCAAAAATATTTGTCATCTGTGTTGACAAGACTTGAGTGCATGCCTAGGTAGTAAATCATGTATATATGTGTGTATGCACGTGTGTCTTTGAAGTATCACTACATGGATGTATATGTCTATCCCTCCATAACTAGATAGTGGCGCATTTGAAAGTTCATATCCATTTACTTAAACATTCACATGCTTTAATATAAAATAAGGCAAATACCCTTATCTTTAAAGCCAGCATGTATTAAATTCAAGGAAGTAGCCTAATTTTGAGCATGGACCTAGGTCCAAATGCAGTAAAATCTTTTACACGCTAATCAGCAGTGGACCAACAGGTTATGTAATGACAATAATTAAAGCAGTGCTCATGTGTAAAATGTTATGTGTCTGTTTTCTTCTTGTTTGTAATACAATCACTCTCTGTCTTTTAAAGCTATCTATGAACAATCTTGTGAGGCTTACCGACATCAAGGGAAGACATCAGGTTTCTTCTACATTGATTCTGATGGAAGTGGACCACTTGGACCACTCCGTGTTTTTTGCAATATAACAGGTAATAGCCTAATTTTGTCATAATTGCTTTATTTTATCTCCAGTATGATTGATATGTCTGTACTACTAAGAAGACCTCACAATCACAGGTCTCTCTTTACTGAGGAAAAAGCAGAGAACTAGTATTAACTGAGGTTCAACTCGGAAGTTTTCCCATTAATAGGATCCAAGTAAAAGTTTTTTTATAAACTAAGCTTGAAGGACTCACCTTGTACTGTTGCTAATAATATTTACATCTTATAAAGGGTACTGCTGATGCTGCTGATGTATTTTTCATATTATAACTTTTAAGGTGATGTTTATGTTTTTTACTGAAAATACAGAAACTTAGAATTCTTTTTTTTTTTTTTTTTTTGGTAACTGAATGGTTTCTCTGCTTTATGTGAACACTAGAACTGGGAATTACTATTAAACTCCTTGCTCTGAGCTAGCTGTAAACCCTTCCAGTCTGACTTAAGCAGGAATATCTCCCTTCACATGAGTGTACTGCCTTTGGTGTCACAGAAAAAAGAAACCTTGCTCGTCATGAGTATGGGGTTGTTTAGTCTAGAGGAGACTGAGACGTGACCTTATTGCTCTCTACAACTACCTAAAAGGAGGTGGTACTGGGGCTGGTGTTGGTCACTTCTCCCAAATTACTGATGATAGGATGAGAGGTAATGGCCTCAAGTTGCACCAGGGAAGGTTTTGATTGGATATTAGGAAGAATTTCTTTACTGAGAGAGTGGTTAGGCACTGGAATGGGCTGCCCAGGAAGGTGGTGGAGTCATCATCCCTGGAGGGGTTCAGAAAATGAGTAGGTGTTGCACTTGAGGCTATGGTCTAGTGGATAGTAAAATGTTGGGAGGAAGTTTGGACTTAATGATCCTTGAGGTCTTTTCAAGCCATAGTGATTCCGTTCTCTGATTCTGTGACCTGTATGGAGAAGGCATGATACTCTTAGGAGGAAGGACACCAAAGAGGCAGGTAATGGAGCAAGAACCTAGCAAGGTGACCTCTTGGTTGAGACTTTTCAATGTTATAATTCTGTTGTTTTAAAATAAAGAAGTATTTCAAATGAATAATCCCGTCTGGCAAATTCTCCCCTTAAAAGGGTCCTATTTTGCATGTAGGACTGTCAGGCAAGGATATGAAAAAAGATTACACAGCCTGTGCTATGGGTCGGGATAGATGGCAGAGCATCCTTTATGCTTTTTATTTTTGAAATGGAGAGGAAATTTCCCAGACTATCTCCTGCTTGGCTCTTTTTTTTTTTTTTTTTCTTCCTGTGGCCAGGTGTGGATGAAAGAATATTTTATTACCCATCTAAATTGCTAATTCTGGTTGAGCTACTTTGCTACATATCACCTCCACACTCAATCTTGAAAACTAAAGACTCAGGACATTAATATTTTATCCTTAATCTCCTTGTACTTAAAAAGTCTCAAATTAAATTTTCATTTTGATTTAATTGGGCAATCATTATGTTAATTAAATGCACACCAGTTAATTATTAAGTGTGTTTTTTATTCAAGTGTAACAAATATTTAATATGTGTCTCCACTGTTGTTGAATCTCCTAAGAACTGAAACAGTTTCACCTTTCTGTCTGAATATCCTTCCTTGATCTCTATTATGGGAAATGTGCTTATTTTTATTATTTATCATATAAATATGTGTGATCAAAACATTGTCAGTGCTTTTTATCTTTGCTGAAGAAGTAGGATTTTTGACAAACTCCTTGCAGAAAGCATCTTCTTTCCTCAAATAAATTTCATCTGGCAGAAATCTAGGAGGCATGTACCTAATTTTCTATCTGTAATGAACTTGCTGACATTCTTATTTTATTTTGGTTATGAGAAAAGTGGAGATAGGGAAAACTGATAGAACCTCCTAGCCTGGAAAACGTTTTCTTATTTGTATTTCTTTTCCCCTACATGTCTCATTTGAGGTGGGGGAAGGTCATTTGTCATAGGCATCTTTATTACGTCTATTGTATAACAGAGGTCTGAGACACTGAAAGAAATTACTATTTTACAGTTGTCCAGAGAATTTAAGGTGCAGTTGGGTTATGCTTCTGTGTCATCTAAATAAGTTTTGGATGCCTTAATCACTGGAGATTATTGTCTCTCTGGGAACCTACTTTATCGTTATACTTATAAAAAATTGTTTACAGTAATAGATTAAATGCAAAGTATGGAAAAAATAACTTTATATACACAGGGATGGATTTTGAATTTGTTATTGTTTTCAGATAATGTTTCTGCATACCTTTCTGAAAGTAGGAAGAGGAAGTAAAAAAGTGAAATCCTGTTATATTAGCAACATACAAGGAATAGAGACAAAAAAGTCAGCTTAATTGTTCAGTGATGTAAATCCATACAATACCTCCTGGGAATGGATAAACGTAGATGGTTAGACGTGTGAATGACTTCCACGTATGAGAAGACTAAACAAATGGAAAAGATGGTGGAAGGAACTGTCACAGGAAAGCACGGAGATCATGTGTGGCGTACAGAAAGCAAATACAGTTGGATTTTTGCCATCATGTAGGGACAGTTGGATTATTAGATAGCAAAGTTTGGAGGAGTATTTTCTTTTTCCTAATGCAATGAATAATTCATCATGAAACTTACTACTGCAGGACGTCAATAATACCGGTGTATGAAGAGAGGGGAAAAAAAAAATACCACAAGCTGGAAAAATCCCCAGTCTTGTGTGATAGATTCAGAAGGTGCAAATAAATGTAGAGGTTTAGTTGTGGCTCTCTGCTCAGGCAGCTTTAAAGCACAGATCACTGGGAAATGGGAATGAATTTCAGAGCAAACTTTTGCCTGCCCTTGTTTTCCTGGGTGTCTGTTCACCATTGAAGGCAAAGGTGGGCTCCTAGACTAAATGAAGCTTTGCTTTGACTCAGGCTAGCAGTTCTTATTTTTATACAGTTTGAGAAGCAGTAACCTCTTTATGCCCAAAATGTGTTCAGGTTGAAGAATTTGGAGATAGAATGGAAAATCTGGGGAAATTACTCATTTAGTGCTTTTAAAAGTAGAGGTGCAGTGAGCTAATGACTTCTGAGAATTGCAGTGCCTTGAGTCTGTGAAGGATGAAGTTGAAGACAGAATCAGATAATCTGAAATGAGCAGCCTCATTGCATTTAGAGAGCAGTGTTGTTCCTTAACATTCATTTACATTTGTTTAAAATTCTTTCTGATTTTTACCTGTTTAATTGAAAAGATAAATATCGTGTTTGTAGCCAGTTATTAGCCAGGGCAGATTAACAGCAGCTTTCTCAAATACTGATGTCTGGCCACAGGCATCCAATGTGTGATGTGGATATGGGAAGTATCAACATTACAAGTTAATTTATTGTGTCTATGGTCCCAGAGATTTCTCTGCAGCCCACTGCTCATTAAAAATTCTGGAGAAAAAAAAAAAGAAAAAAAAAGAAACAGAAAATTGCAGTTGTGTGTGTTGCAAAGGAATTGGACAATCATACAAAGACAAAGAGGCAGAAAGAAATAAGGAAAGGGAAATTTTGCAGGGAGAAAAGAAAGAGGAAGCAAATATTTAAAAATATAAAGTAAATTTTCAACATGGCAAGAAATTTAACAGTAGAATGTCACAGAATATCTACTGATGCCAGAGTGAATAGATTTATTTATTCATTGTTTGGAGAAGCAGCTGAAAAAGCAAGGTGACAAAAATTGTAGATGACATGTTATTATTTAAATTGGTCTAGAAAAGGAAGAGTGTGTGAAGCACTTTAGAAGAATCTTGTCTTGAAGGCTCTCTATTTCTAGTAAAAGCAAAATATTGTTTTTGAAGTAAGATGTTATCAGGAACAGTAAGGTACCTAATTAAAGACATAGAAATGTATCTTCACAGAGAGAGGTTAAAAGTAAATAATCCAGGGCTATTTATATTGGGAAGACCCAAAATGAATGGACCTCATTGACAGAAGCAAAGTTTATTTGCATTTTCTGACAATAGGAATAAAGAGCCTGTTCAATGACATTGAAAGACAACAAACTCAAAACTAGATTAAAAAAAAAAAATAACACCTTATTAACATAATGTTTTCTTCACTTTATATACCCATTATGCACAATGCAAAGTCACTTTCACAGGAAAGTTCATCCATTCCAAGAAACAACGAGGAATCCACACCAAATATATGTGTGCATGAGGGAAGTGAACCCAGCATATGTGCCCAAACTATGTCTGGATGCTACAAGAGACACTATGAGGATTTGTGTGGGTCCATACAGGGATTATTAATTTGGGATGATTGCATTCAGCACCATGGGAATATAGCTAGTTTCCATCTGCGTGGGAATGTGAACTAGCTCTGCTAGTTTTATCAGTGTTCTTCCACCATCTGTGGTGCTCTAAACCCACACTTTTTTTTTCTGCATAAAGCACACAGAGAATGTGTCCTGTCATGCTCTGGGTTAATGAACAACCACCAGCGCTGGAAAGAAATTTTCCCTGTAGGCTAATTGTTTGATAATTAGCCCAGTTGAATTAATCTTCACTTTCCACTGAAGTGATTGATAACAATCAATACAGAAAATGGCTAATGGACCCTATGAACCTCTGGTCTGGCAGTCTTTCTATCATTGTGAGGTTTGTTCTTTTTCTCTTGTTGCTCAGAAATTTATTGATCTGTCTGGAGTACTGCTTAAATGCTAATAATCATAATCTCCAGTGCAAGGTCTGTAGGCATGTAATTCACATCCATGTATTCGTTTTGCTTCCCTTTATGGAAAGTATTTGTAATGACCTTTCCTCAGCTTCTCCAGAGTAAATTTTACCCTTGATATATGAAAGATTTTCTTAAAGTACACTTGACTCATTCTGTCACTGTGCTTCTTTACTGGTGTTGTTTTACTGTATGCAGACCCTGGGCTATCAAATCAATAATGCTTAGAAATTGCCATGGCTAGATCAATGGTTAATTTTATCTTAGCCTGATATGTGTCCGGTCCTTAAATAGTTTGTCTCTTTTTTTTTTTTTTTTTTT